TGCAAGAGAGCATTTTGGAAACACTTCATCAGGGCAACCAGGGAATGGTTAAGTGTATGGCGAGAGCTCACAAGGCAGTATTGTGGCCAGGTCTGACACGTCAGATAAAAGAAAAGGTACGCCAGTGTGAAGTTTGTGCCAAGGAAAGTCACTATGCACCGGAACCTCTCCTGACCACACCCTTGCCATCACGCCCATGGCAAAAGCTAGCCGCAGACCTGTTTGAATGGAAAAAAGGTAACTACTTAGTGGTCATAGATTACTACTCCCGATTCATTGAGGTCGCTAACCTCACAAGCACTCTAGCATCAGCAATGATTCTAAAAATGAAAGCAATCTTCATTTTTTATTTTATTTTATGTTTTTAGCATTATGGCAACAGAATTGTAATCTGCGTGCCGTGCTGTGCCCGACACTTTTGCTTTGCCAAGGGAGGCCTGTCAGGGTGAGAACCCTCCCTTGATCATCCAATACTGCTGTGGAGGGGGTGTGGCGCTCAGCTGCAGGGGGGGAGCTGTGGAGAAGGCTCAGGGACCAGCGCCAGGGGAGGTGATTGAGCACACCTGGAACCAGTTATCTAATCACTCTCCCCTCTGTAAAAACAGTAGCGTGCTGGACCTGAAGGAGAGCAGAGCTGGAGCAGGACACAAGCCACCAGCTCAGGAACAGGACAGGCAAACGGCCTACAAATAAAAGAGCCCAAGCCGGGCGTACGTGGGTGTGTGCGTGTGTGAGAGAGTGTGTGTGCGTGTGGCACACACGCTCGAAATAAACCGGTTGAACCAACGAATCTGGGTCAGGGCACCCACGGTGGCACGACTGCCACAACTGCTTTATTATTTATTTAGGATTTATTTTTGTTACATAAGTAATATGGCTAATGCAAAATAAATAAATAAAAATAAATCAATAAATTAAATTTTTTTTTAAAAACCCTTCCAGCCGCTACACATACACACCTCACACACTCCCGCAGCCGCCCCCCCCCAAAAAAAAAGAGAAGAAAAAAAATCAATAAATAAAAATAACAATTATATATACATATATATATATATATATATATATATATGTACGCATACATACATACATACATACATACATACATACATACATACATACAT